ATTCTCCAATTGATTCCAACAGGCATTATTGTATCTATCACATTCGCTACTTGTGTAGGAAATATAACCTTTCATAGTTGATGTAATACCTGGATTTCTGACACGATCAACAACGTTACCTCCAATTTCATAACGTATCTCATCAAACAGATGTGCCACACCATTATTTACGAATTTCATTGTATTACTCACTTTATTTTCAGCATCAGTTTATCCCGTGGTTTTCGAATTCTTGGGATACTTATGCTCCGGTTGCTCTCGTCTGGTGACTAGGTGTCTGGTTTCTAGGAAAATGTCATGAAAAATCCGTTCTCTAATTCAGAATTCTTTTAGTTTCTTTTTTTGTTTTTATGGGCGCCACCCAGCTTGTTTTCTCTAAACTGGGAAATATAAAAAAACACTTTCACGGACTTTCGGAGAAGGCAATAAAGCCACAATAAATATTATATTGTATATTAATAATTGATATATANGCCACCTCATCAATATGTCTAGTGTTGATTGGTAAATAGATAACATTTGATACTTTTTCTATTATTCGAAATCCACTTGGGACCGTAGGGTAGAACATATGTAATAAATGTACAGCACTATCATTATTGAAGGAATTACTTATTAAGTTACATTCGATACAAATTGAATTAACTTTTGAAATGTTTACAGGTAAATCAGATATGTGTTTTTTATTTGGTACCAATTTCTTCCTTTGGAAACCCAATAAAGGTGCTATATAATTAGGTTTTTCGAAATGTATTGGTTTATTACAAATTATTTCATATCTTAAAGTATTTCGCTTTGCATACAATTTTAAGGCTGTTGATTCTGATATTTCTTCTTCTTCTACTATGACATTAGATGACAGCGCTTCAACAGTCTTCTTTTCCTTTTCTTTCAGCTGTAGTTCTACAAATAACTGCTTCCTTCTCTTCTGCTCGTGGGTAATGTGAGCAGCCATCGGGACATGGTCTCCGTGACAGGACGTTTTTTACGGGGGCTTGCTGGGTACAGGCTGACGATTTCCTCTTCTCATGAAACCTCTCTAGTTTTCTTGATTTGGTGTTAGTTCTTTGAATGTCATAGTCTTCCTGGGCCGTGAGGCTTTGCAGAATATTCTTTGCTTCTCCACGCAACGCCAATGTTATTGCTACCGCCTTTTCTCCTGCATTCCATCCATTCGCTCTGGCCGCAGCTTCAAATTGTCGGAGGTAATTTGCCCAAGGAGTTTTTCCGTCGAACTGGGGCGGCTTCATGGAGAGCTTTCAGGGTTTAGAACTGACTTTGACACTTTTCAGTTCCGGAATTGAGGGCATCTACGTTTTTTACGTGGGCTTGCTGGCTGACGATTGCCCCTTCTCATGGAACCTCCCTCGTTTTCTTGATTTGATGTTAGTTCTTTGAATGCTTGGACATTTGTTACGCACATGCCCAATTTTCCCACGGTTCCAGCATTTTATTTGTTTTCTCTCAGACAAAACTTTTTTCATCGCCTTTCTAATGGTGGCCTCATTATCAGCAGAACCCTGTCCATCTTCCTCCATGGTTTAAACTTTGCTCTGGCCCTTTCAGGACTGTTTTGCAGCCTCAAACTCCAGAGCGCTTGCCAGTGCATCCACGAGATGTTTGGGATGAGCTAATGTCAAGGTCTTGGTCGCGAAGTCCGACCAAGAATGCCTGAACTGCTAACCGGTCCATTACATTTTCCGGTGTAGCAGGATATGCCAGACGAACCAATCGAGCTGTGTCTGCTTCATTTTTCAGTTCCGGAATTGAGTTTTCAGTAACCGTTTCTGTGGGGTGGCAGAATTAACGATTTGGTTGTGCCTGAACTCCGACTTTGATTTCCTCTACTTTTCTATTCATTTCCTTCCTGATTTTATTTATCTCTGTCCCGATGGTTCCCATCCTTTCTTCGAGTACACTCGCCACACAACAAAATTCTTTCTTCAAGCCTTCTGCATTTTCTAGAAGTTTGTCTTCCAAACTCTACGAATTTTCCAAAAGCTTCTCCTCCGGGCACTTCGAATTTTGTTGAAGTTCATCTTTTAAACTCACCGAATTTTAGCGAAGTTTGTCTTCCAAACTCTTCGAATTTTCGAGAAGCTTGTCTTCCAAACTCTTCGAATTTTATAGAAATTTATCTTCCAAGCTTTAAGAGTTTTCCAGAAGCTTCTCTTCAAGACTTGCCGAATTTTGTTGAAGTCCATCGAGTTTGCTCATTATTGAACTCAAATCACCCCCAGAAGCTTCGAATAAATATGTTTCGGTATCTTCTCCATTGGTATATATGAGTACTATCAACAGGCAGAAAGTTAAGTTTAATTATACAGTATAGTCAACGATCGACGAACTCACGAGGAAAACGCATCAATATATCACCTTTGAATTTTAAATGGAATTTGAAATCAGCATGAACTTTTGGCAGGCTTTTAAAAAACATGTAAGTTAAAAATCTTACCAGAATGCATTCATTGAATTGGCGCCAATATTCGCGATAGCCTAGTGAAAGTATTATGGCACTATAATGAATGGGGGAGAGAGGATATTCGCTTCAGTGAACAATATTCACCTATAAAAGCTGAAGGACTCGTCAATCAGTTATTAGTTCCAATTTGTTTTGTGACTTGAGCGAGATGTTTGATATGTTTCCGGTTATTGCTGCTTCCTGCTGCCGTTTGGTCCCCCTACCTACGGAAATATGGGTCATAATATTTCGGTGAGTTTTATTTTATTCTGAAATTTCATATAATCATTATCTATCTATTTTCGTTTATTCAGCTAACATGGATTATTTTTCTAGGATGTTGGACCCATGTTCATTAGTTGCTGCCACCAGAGCCAATTCGCAATGGATGAATATTTGCTTCGGGGATTCTGTTCTGAGACGAAAAATTCGAGAAGGAATGGAGCTTGAGAGAAAACACAATCTGGAGGTTATCCTAGATCCATGGACTACTGTCCAAACTTCTCGATTGGGGAGTACCGAGAGGATGTTTTTCCGCAATATGAGAAAAATACTAGTCCGAAAGAGGTCACGAATCCAGATTGAGCCAATTCCAGCCAAGAAGAGGAAGATGTTGGTACAACTGACTCCAGGCGATCAGGAGATGAAAACGAAGAAAGTGAAATATCGATTATGAATGACTGTGAAAGTTGAAACAATTTTTGTGACTGTATGATTTGACTGTTTCCTGCTATTGCCGCTTCGTGGTACAATTTTATTCCTCTACCAACGGAAATATGGATCATAATATTAAGGATGTTGGACCCATGTTCATTAGTTGCTGCCACCAGAGCCAATTCACGATGGATGAATATTTGCTTCGGGGATTCTGTTCTGAGACGAAAAATTCGAGAAGGAAAGAAGCTTGAGAGAAAACACAATCTGGAGGTTATCCTAGAACCACGGAATACTTTCCAAACTTTGCGATTGGGTAGTACCGAAAGGACGTTTTTTCGCAATATCAGAAAAACAGTAGTCCAAAAAAGCCAATTCCAACCAAGAAGAGGAAGATGTTGGTACATCTGACTACAGACGATCAGGATATGAAAACGAAGAGAGTGAAATATCGATTATGAATGACTGTGAAAGTTGAAACAATTTTTTTGACTGTATGATTTGAAATAAAGTTCATACTTTTTATTTTTCTTGTCATTTCATTAATAAAGTACTTTGTCTTCTGAAAAATGATTATAGAATTCAAAACATTCAATTTGACTTTGTATATTGAAACAAAATACACATTTCATTTCTCGTTATGCCAAAAAATGGTCTGAAACTTTTTCGACTTCTATAGTTTCATTCAATGGTTATGAGTATTTTTCATTGTACCACTCAAAATCGTTTCAATTTATTCCATATGATTTCCTCAGAATGAATAATCGACTTTTTATACTGTAACGAATTAAAGAATGAACTGTCTCGAACACATTTATTTTTAACAATATTTCACTATCACACCTAATTTATATACAACACTTAGCAACCAACGCCTAATTCATCTTCACTGTTGGAATTCTTTGTTAACTGCTCGATTCGCATTCTGAATACAGCGAATACTTCCTCTCTGAACGAGGAAGCTGACCTTTTTTATCGGTAACGATCGCTCTAGATTCCTCTAGTGATTTCGGTACTCATCTACACTTTTCGAGGCGGTTCGCGATGAGTCATGTGTTTGCTGGCTGAGATATCGGTCAGGGCCGGCTTCAGATTCGTTACATTGCCCCCTTCTTAAAGACGTTTCGCCCTGAAATGTCATCCTTGGCGTGTGTCGATACCTGCAAGACTCCCCATATCTGCACTGTGGAGTTCGATGGAAGTAACACTCCACAGTCTTCATGCTTGGTCGTGGAAGAAGGTTACCGCCGCTAGATCTGAAGATCGTTTCCAACCTGCTTCTCATAATTCTCCAGTACAGCCTGTCAAGCCCAGAGGCTAATTTCGGGATTGCCAAGTCCACGATATTCTGGTCTAGCATCATGTCCCTCAGTCTGTTAAGACTCCTCCAGACATCTTCATAGAACGGTTTGTCTCGATAATGCTTTTTGGTTACCAAGTTGAAAATGTTTCTCTGACCCTTCTTTAACTGTAGCACTACTACTCCGACTTCAAGGTTCTGTCCTCGTATTGTTTGAATCTGACCGAATTTCTTGTTGAATACCACAGCGATACCTTTAGACGTTTGGAGATCCTCTGCCACGCAGTAAACTAGTGCGTAGTCAATTGGAATCTTGAAAAGGTCTCGTGGCTCTTCTTGAGTTACTCCATGTACGACCTTCTGTTTGTTCGAGTACAAGGACATGCATTTCTGAAACGTCATTTCATAAGGAGCCAATCTATTAAAATGGACGACCCTAGCCTTTCCTCGAGGTGACTTATGGATTCGGTAGACGAGGTCAACAATCTTTTTCATAATTTTGTAGGGACCTTCCCACGAGCTCCGCAACTTCGGCTTCTAAGGCTTTTAAAAAACATGTAAGCTAAAAATCTTACCAGAATGATTCTTCATTTTTGATATGCCTCACATCTACATCCACTTTTTTTTCTTCTTTCTTACCTAGAGTCATTTGCATTAAAAAGCTTTTTTTTTCTCTTCTATAAATCCTGATTCCATCTTCTCTGATACTTACTTCAGCCTCCTTCAATATGTTATATCCCACTATGACCTTGAACGCCGTCGAATTGATAGGTAATACGTGGAATTCCAGATAAAACTCTTCATCATTTACCATAACATGTTTCTTGAAAGATACCAATGTTTTCATTCGACTTCCTTCACCTAAACCTTTTACAAATAAGATGTCCTTGGCTAACTCAAATCTCAAAAGGCTTCTTTGTGCAGGTCTTCTCTTATTGTGCCTGTGCCGAATAATGCGGCTAATACAACATTATTTATTGTGACATTTACACCATTTTTGGGAATAACTTCCACGACCCTAAGGTTTACAGTATTTGTACTAGTACTTGGCCTAGTAGTTGCGCTGTTTGAAGTCGATGCTTTGTTCGGACACTTTGTGGAAATGTGACCAAAATTATTGCAACTGAAACACTTGGTACCTTTTGCCTTGTTTGGACATCCTTTGGATTTGTGTCCCTTTTGTCCGGAATTGAAACAAGTCTTCGTCTTTTGTATGTCAGTCCTTATCGAATCATTTTCCTGTCGTTCTTTTCTTGTATTTCCATTCTTCGACTTCCAGTTGCTTGTACCGGGAAACGATTTCTTTTTCTGGTTTTCTATCTGATCATAAATTTGTACTTTTTCTTCAAACTCCGCAAAGTTGTTTGCTCCATACAAAACAACTTTATTGGCACTCTCATCGGGTATTCCTTCTATAATATACTGGATTATAACTTCATCTTCAATGTTCGCTCTGTTACCTATTTCTCTCATTACCAAAACATATTCTTGTATCGATTCATCATGTTTTTTCTTTCTCGTCGTCAGTATTTTGTGAATTTGTGCACTGCTTACTTTTACCTCGAATTCTTTGATCAGTCGTTTCTTCAAAATTGCCCGTGTCGTAATACCTCGCTCAGATTGAACAAATAATTTTGCTATCCTACATGTATATATGTATTCTCTGGTATGTATATGTAAATTCTTTAGTGATGAATTAATAAATTCTAATTCTATCACGTTTCAAGTTTTGTTTTTCTCGAGTCGTCACGTGTGATGATCCTCTACGACAACAGGAGACGTTCACGTACAGGTGTCCAGTGGTTGGACACCTATGAGCCATCCAGGCACTTCCCAAAAGCAAAAACCCACCAAAAATTGGTTACTACATTTTTTTAAGGACAAAACACAAGCACGATAGGAAAATCCCTAAAGCGCTTCAAGAGCGGTGCCTGTGCGAAAGTAGCGATTCACATTGGTTTTAAATAGCTGGAGATCAAATACGTTTGAAAAAACGTGCTTAGGAAGTTTATCCCACATAAACGCAGTTCTCCAAATGGAACAGTTCCTAAACAGTGAAGATTGAGGTATATTGAGTTGAACCTCAAAACGATGAGCAGCCACAGTCTGTCACGTATTTCTGATATGTACCGCTCTTAGTGGAATCAAATGTGAAAAGAAACTTGAACAGTTTTTTCAAAAGTATCTATGGAAGAGAGATAAATCTCCAAATTTTCTTCGATGTTCCAGATCCAGACTATCAAGGTTGCACGTGATGTTCGCGTTTCCAATCATAGCGGATGGAATCCAGCAGCTTCAGGGTATACTTAGGGGCGGAGCTCCATACAAGGGAACAATACTCCAAAGAAGGTCTGATCTGAGCTTTATTAAGCATCAAAAGTTGCTGCGGTGTGGACAGTTTCCTGGTTCAGTGTTCCAAGCTTTTGAGAAGCAGCCTTTGCAAATCCAGCGATATGATTGTGCCCAGACATATCAGTGTCCTTTTCAAACCCCCAAAGAAGACTTATCGACGCAGAAAGCGGAATTGTTTGTCCTGCCATTATTATATCCGGTTGGGAGCTTAAATGTGAGTTTGAACTAAATATTTTGGATGATATGGAAAAATGTTCCGCATAAAATTTGTTGATCTTTACATTACCTACAACTTTTATATTCAATTGTTTTCAATATTAAATCCAGTTTAATTGGAAATCTTGAGTAACCATTGCGTACTCATCATTGGATCGACTTTAATTCAGTTTTTCTGTTATGAGCTTAATATTTTCTACTCACTCTAATAATTTTCATGCTGATATCAGTTTTTTGGGTGAGAAATGTTTTGACTTTCTACTTTTCCAACTTTATACAATAAAATGTGGGAATCTTCCAAAGACAGAAAGGAAGCAATAAATTTCAAAAATATACTCTTTACTAAGATGGGTAGATCATGTGAGTGACTTTCAGACACAAACTGAAAGAAAAAAGCTTCTCAAAACAAATAATTTCATTATAGACATTGANTGATCCGGGAAACGATTTCTTTTTCTGGTTCTGTATCTGATCATAAACTTTAACTTTCTCTTTAAACTCCGCAAAATTGCTTGCTCCATACAAAACAACTTTATAGGTAGTCTCATCTTGTATTCCTTCTGTGATATACTGGATTATAACTTCATCTTCAATGTTCGCTCTGTTGCCTATTTCTCTCATGGCCAAAACATATTCTTGTACTGATTCATCATATTTTTTCTTTCTCGTCATCAGTAACTTGTGAATTTGTGCACTGCTAACTTTTACTTCGAATTCTTTGATCAGACGTTTTTTTAAAATTGCCCACGTCGTGATACCTCGCTCAGATTGGACAAATAACTTTGCCAACCCTCTAAGGCTCTTCTTAGCAAAAATTAATTTTTGGAGTTCATTCCAACCTGTAATTTCGGCAATTTCCTCAAAATCTTGAATCCACGTCTTCACAGGATAACTGTCTTTTCCGTCAAAAGGTCTTATACTATCTTCGATATCTCTGAACGTCAAAGAAAACGTATCAGGTTTTCTTACTTCGTGCTGTACTGTGGTACTGGAGGGTCTCTGTTTATCTCTAACATATTTGCCTCTTTTCTTCTTATTATCGTCCTTTTCTTTCTCTTTGTCTTCACGGCTTTCGTCTTCGTGTGCATTCTTCCTAGCGTCGTCAACGTTTTCGTCTTCAGTCTCATTTTCTTCGTCCTGTTCTTCGTCCTCTTCTTCGTCATTTCCATTTTCATCACCTTCAAAGTTAATCAAGTATGAACAAATACGATCGGCTGCGTCTGTAGTTTCTGCACCAACGTTCAAATCAAGAATGTAGCAAATGGCTATTAAATCATGCAATTTAACATGTTTCTTGACGTCGTCTAATTTTTTCGCGTATGAATCGGAACCCTTGCCGAAATCAAAACCAGAAAAACCACGGATAGCCTTTCTTACTTTTCTGGGTTCGCCTTCGTTATCAAAACAAATGTAATGCAATTGTTTTACTACGTTTAGTTTACTATGAGTAATCTTATACTCAATTTGTTCAAAACTTCCTAAAGTAGTCATTTTCAATAACCGGAATATAATAAAAAATTTATAAATCAGGTATTTACCAGCTAAAACCATACAAATTTCTAAAAGCGGCGACTAAACAATATTTAATATCTGCAATAGTTACTTTAGAGTCATCGACCACGTTTTTGTTCAGTGTGGATGAAATAATAAGAAAAAGAAACACTCGATATTATTCAACTACTTAACTAGATACTAATCACTAAGCTTATTACAAAATATTTTCTTTATCAGTTGAAAACCACAAAAGACAGATATTTATTCTAAAAATAATCGAAATTTGACAAGATTCTTTCAATGTGATTGAGATGATAAAGCTTCACCCTGTTTCTTCAATGCATACAATCTCAAAATCAACAAAACTGTCTCTCTTACAAGAAAAAGTTTACTCCACTCTTATGTCTCCGCCACTGAACGAAAATGTTCTTCTGGTCTGACTTGATTCCTCAGTATAAAATGAAAAAAATGTTACCTCTCATCCGGATTACGGAAGTGCTCTACCTGTCGTTGGCCAGTCCACTGTCGCGGGTTTACTCTTGTTGACAACGTCGCAATATCGGCGCGATAACCGAATAATTCCAGGAACTTATGTGATGTGCTTCACGAGAATAGGAGCAAACAGCAACCAACACTTTTCGTTAAAGTTCTGAACTTGGTTCTAGAACAAAATCATTCACACTGCTCCAGATGTCGCCTCATAAATATCACTGCCCGTTTTACACGATAGTTTTCTTGCTAGAATCAACGATTTTCGTATTTTGATTCCTCGCCTTTTACCGGCTTTTATTTATTTTAGTATTACTATGACTCCTGTTCAGATCACGTTCAATATTTTCCAGTCGCTTTCCACCAACTTCCGTCAAATTCACATTCTGTGCATCCCGGACGAGCCCCCATTGTCAATTATTTACAGAAAGTATTGACAGATAATAATGTAGGATTTTTATCGTTGTCTAGGGAATATAATAATATGGACTCAGGTGCAACAAGAATAAAAGTATATTAACGATAGAAAACAACAATTGGTTAAACACTGTCACAATTAGAACATACGGCACATAAAAACGTCAGTCAGTTATTACAGTAATACATCCAGCACTGAACAACAACGTAAACGGAGAATATCGACCCGGCNTGCTCACGAAAGTAAATTTGAAAATATCACTGTGTTGTATTCGTTTGAAGACTGTTTTCGAGAAAGTGAGCTTTGAATTTTTATATAAATATCTTTTATCATATCTACCACACATTTTTTACATACATTTTTGCCGCTTCGAATGGATGAATTTTCTTATAATTGAGCAAGTCAAATTGTAGATTATCGTACGCTTATCATTGAATATGCATAATGTTATTATAATTACTGATTGAAGGTTGTCACGTGCTGATGATACACAGCACCAAAATTGTATTTTCAGAATCTAATGAGTTGGTTCAAATTTGTAACACGCTTATCACATGATATTTTTGATTACACCATAATTATTCGTTTTTTCCATAACGAATGTGTGATATAAATTGATGATACCATACCATACTCATTCTACTTACAACTATAACGATACAAAGATGAGTACTGTTCCAACTGCTCTTATAGTAAAAATTACAAACACTAAAGTGTTCCCTGTTGACATGGCTATGGTGGTATTCAAGCAGTTATTCAGGTGAGTTATTATTTTTTACTGGATTTATTGTGAAACTCATTACTTTGTTATTGATTTAGAGTAATTGATATGAATAAGTTTCTACTTATTATGGGTTTATGGTTAAACGATTTTCTCTTTGTTATAGATATGGGGTTAAGGAGATGATAAAAAATCTGAATAGTGTATAATCGTTTACTTGAGGCATAGTCCAAAGATGACAACAAAAAAAAATTGGTATCCTACCGGTGAAAGTGACACGAGCCATGTTAGAAAATGAAAAAGAGTTACCTGTTTTAAATACAGCTATGAACAAATTCGATTTCAACCTACAGGATGAAGATGATGACGACTTCCTTTTAACACCTCTACCCTCGAAAAAATTGAAACCAGGAACATCGAAAAAAGAAATATTACCAATACCAATAAACTTGGATGATTATGAAGATGAAGAAGCTCCACAATCACCTTTTCAAGAATCGCAAGCTTTTATATGATATCTAATAATAATTGTAATTTATAAAGGAAAATAAAACAAAAATTGAGAAAATATTTTTATTTCTTAATATAAAGAGAATACAAACGATGAAGGAATGGAAATACATTTTTCATTTCTTACAATGTGAATACCAATATCTTAGTAAAAAAACATTTTCCACTGCACNGCAATGTAAATACTAATATATTAGTAAAAAACATTTTCTACTGCACAATTCAGATTATTATGCAAATGATTTATGCAGTGGTGAGATTTGAGAAAAATTTTCTATTGAAAGACACCCTTCATCAGGCAAGTTATAAATTTCATTTTGTATAAGTTGACTGACCCATTTTTTCTTTTCACATCCTTTAACAAAAACATAAGTATCAGGTCCTATACAATTCTTGATATACTCTGAAATTTGTTCAAAGTTTAGGGTTGATATTGTTGCAGGATAATCACTTTATTCATGAAACCATGCTAATCCATGTAAATTTCTCGTACACCAGTTCACATGTTTTTTCACAGTTGGATTATATTGGTTTATATAAAAATTTTCTTGTTTTTCCACATTGAAAACCTTGCACATCGATGATAAACATGATACTTCAACTAATATCATCGTAACAATGAAGTCATCAGTCTACTTATGAAGTATTTATAATGCTGATGCTGATTATGCAATATTACTTTCGTCTATCCAACTATTATGTTTATTATCGAATCCTAACCATTTAACGAAAACTTCAACATTTTTCCTTTTGAGTACATTTTCCACAAGATATACATCAGGACATTTCACTTTTTGCAAATGTTCTTTGTAAAAACCTTCTGAAATATCCTGTTCTTCATCATCCTCCAGTAAATAAGTTATAGGGTTTTGTTTATTGTATTTCCTTATCTTGAATATTTCTGCAGACCAGTTTGGAAAATATGTTTTATCAAAAATTCATCGACTTTTTCATTACCTTATTGAATTGATTAAGAATGTCAATATATGGATGTTAATATGAAAATAATTGAATAAACGTATTTCTCTTTATTCTTATCTATGTGTGTGGCAACTGGGAAAAGTAAACTGCAGCTTCTGGTCGACAAAACTCTTTTAAATGTTGAATATCTTCATACTTCGCTTTATCAATAGGAATAAGACCTGAAAACCACATTAAATTTGTAGGCCTAATAGTTGAAATTAATATGCAATAATACACATTATAAGATTTATAATTTTTGTGTAGTGACTTCAAGAAAGAAACTACAAAAAAGTCCAAAACTAAAAGTAGGTTTAGTGTCAAGTAGGGGGGAAAATTTAACAAGGGCTAGGCTTAGTCTGGATAGGCTTGGATAACTAAGTGGAGTTAAGCTTAGTTTAAAATAGAGGTAAAATCACCTACCTCCATAAACAGGATCGGGCAAATGAAACTCCCCGTTTGAAAGATTTCCTCTCTGCCATTCCGTAAATCTTCTTTTCACTTCTTCAGGAGGCAGATTTTTTTCTTTCTTCTTTTTCAGTTTAGGCAAAACTGGGGTTTCATACCAGGGGCCATTGAATTTTTGGCGGTTTCTTATTAAAGCAGGGTGTTCTTTCAAAACTTCAAATTCCCTTATTTCTCTTGATTTGCATGGCAGCTTTTTTGACTTGTACTTCTCATCTAAAAACGACGACCAATCTTTTACCATTTCCTGGTCTACTTCTACAACAGTAAATGGAGATGGCTTACATCTTGCGTTTTGAAAAACAGTTACCCAATCTTGGGGAGTTTCAGCATGGGCAGTGTGTTTCACCAAAGCAGTGTTCTTATCACACTCTAAATACGAGTGCCCTCGGATAGGGAATGTCATTTTGATGTAATCTAATCTATTTTCCACATGAACTACATGATGCATAAGTCGGAGTATAGTTTTATTTTTGTTTTGCCCCGCGCATGAGTCAGAGAATATTTCTAGATGTCTGACTTTCTTGTCTAAGTGATTGTAGATAAAGTCATGGAAAAATGATGCTACCTCATCACTCCCTTTACTTGCGATTGTTTGGGGATATATATAAAATAGGCTCCGACTATCAGACATGACATGAATGTTAAAAGCATAAACAGACAACTGTCTTTTGTAATATACGTCATTAGTAGCAATGTTTGGGCAGAGATAATTCTTCGCATATTCCATACAAATTGCCTCCTTATGAGGTGATTTTCTGCTTGCTTTTCTTGCTGCTTTTTTTCTATCATAGAAAACCTGAGCATTAGTTAAATGAACTTCATGTTCAATATCCATTTTACGAATATCTCTGGATAGGTTTTGTTTTTTTTCTTCATCCTTTTCTTCGGCAAACTGTTTTTCGAGGAATTTTTTCTGTACAGCATATTTATCACATGAACTACATGTATCGGTTCTAGGATATCCGAACGAAATGTTGAATTCTTTATTAAATATTGTACGATATGACTCTAAACTACATCTAATATTAGGATGACAATCTTGAAAGAGTTTAAACATTTTAGACACATTTAAATCATCTGGCAGATATGTTTTTTTGGAATCCTTTTGACTATAGTGGCTTTCACGGCCTTTGAAAGATTTTATGTGGCTGCGTATAGCGTCAAGAGTCTCATCTGAAAGTTTGTGTGGCCTATTTTCATGTTTACCTTTATTATACTTAGGTGGAGTTCCTGTTTTCTTCATTTGATTCAGAATATAGTCAATCTTGCCTCGAGAAATTCCATGTATAGATATGAATGCGTTTTTACACACTTTAAATTCTTGAGCAGTGTTATTTCTGATTACTCGTACTGCATAGCAGTAAGTAGCGTCTTTAAATTTGGCATCTAACTCATTTTTCACCCGGTGACGCTGAACAGGTAAAATCGTCACTAATCCTGTCAAATAGAGATTCACTTCATCATGACTTTTTAGGGAGTTAATATGTCGTAAAACTTCGGCCCTTTCACGTTCAGTAATAGCTTCAAAACATTTGTCTTTACATTTACAAGGTTCACCTGCCTCTCTGCTCTGTAAATTAATCTTTTTACTAACCTCCTTTAATCGCCCGTGTTTAGGCCTCTTCCTTGCTGACGGTGGTTTGCACTCGATCTCTTCTTCTGAGGACGCACTTTCCATTGTAGGCTTAAACTATAAACTTAACTTTGGCCTAATTAGACACTAGTTAATGTTAATAAAACTGAAATGACACAACACTAACTTAATAACAGCAAAACATAACCTTCTGTCGTTATGAGTATAAACAACAATACACTACTGCTGCTGGTGGCCAACGCATGAACTATGGAGTTATCAAGTTATTTCCCTGAGCGACTGGCACTTATCAAGTTATTCCCCTGGAACTGATTATTTTGTTCGTAAATATCTCTGGAGTTCTCATGTTGTTCCCCACAGTATTTTGTCATCTTGTAGAACTCAATTCTACCAACCTAAATCACTTATAAACT